TTTTTTTTTTTTTTTTTGAGACAGTCTCGCTCTGTCACCCAGGCTGGAGTGCAGGGGCGCCATCTCGGCTCACTGCGACCTCTGCCTCCCGTGTTCAAATGATTCTCCTGCCTCAGCCTCCCAAGAAGCTGGGACTACAGGCACGTGCCACCACGTCCAGCTAATTTTTGTATATTTAGTAGAGGCGAGGTTTCACTTTGTTGGCTAGGCTGGTCTCAAATGCCTGACCTCAGGTGATCTGCCTGCCTGGGCCTCCCAAAGTGCTGGCATTACAGGTGTGAGCCACCGCACCCGGCCGTGGGCTGCTTTTTGTTAAAAGAATAACCTTACGGAGGACTCCCAAACCTTCACTAATTGCCTAAATAATTTCTTTTTAACTCCTATGTTACAGAGAGGCTTGGTTTAGAACTCAGATAACAAAGTTCTTTTGAATTGATGCAAGGCTGTTAAGTACATTCCTATGCGCGCAGCTAAGTGTATCTTGTCTACTTTATGCCAAGAAAGCTTTTTTCTATATCTTTTTACTTTCAGAAATGATGGGAGAGCTATAAGTTCCAGGCACCAACAGTCTCCCAGCCTCTGCTCCTGATACTGTTTTTCTGGTTTGCTCATGGACTCTGATCCACCCTACAAAAGGCTCTGTGATCCCAGCCTGTAAAGTAATTAAATTACTTGTGGAGATAGTTGTTAACTCCCATGCTCAGGTGCCAGGAGGGCAGAGACTGTTCTCTTCACTATCAGGTCTGTCGCGTCTAGACCAGAATCTTGCCCTCAGAAAGTCTGGGGGTGGAAAGATGGGATGCCTTTCCTCACCCGTCATCATGAGGCTCACAGATTACTCTTCAAACAAAAGACAAGTTAATGAGAGAAAAGCATAACCAATCTATTTAATTGAAGTTTTACATGATATGGGTGCCTTCAGAAATGAAGACCCAAAGACCCAAAATCTGCTTTTCATGCTTAAGTTTGATAACAAATGGACAGCTGTGTAGGAATGTGATGGACAAAAAAAGATATGATCCAGTGATAATAGACAGAGGGGGGGTTGACAAAAAAAGTCAAATGCTATAAAATATTTTAAGAGATTTATTCTGAGCCAATCAGAGTGACCAATGGCCCATGACACAGCTCTCGGGAGACCCTGAGTATGACTGGGCTACACCTTGGTTTTATGCATTTTAGGAGGACATAGACAAGCAGTACATGTAAGATGTATGTTGGTTTGGTGGAGAAAGGTGGGACAACTTGAAGTGGCGGCTTCCGGGTTATAGGCAGACTCAAAGATTTTCTGATTGGCAGTTGATTGAAGAGTTAAGTTATTTTCTAAAGATGTAGAATCAATAGAAGGGAATGTCTGGGTTAAGATAAGGGGTTATGGAGACCAAAGTTCCCATTATCAAAGGAAGTCTCCAGGTAGCAGCCTTCTGATAATGGATTGTAAATTTTTTAAAAGTTTTATTTGTTTATTTCCTTTTTTTTTTTTTTTTTTTTTTTAGGCAGCATCTTGCTCTGTCACCCAGGCTGGAGTGCAGCAGCATGTTCTTGGCTCACTGCAACCTCTGCCTTCTGAGTGCAAGTGATTCTCCGCCTCAGCCTTCCAAGTAGCTGGGATTACAGGTGTGCACCACAACACCTGGCTAATTTTTGTATTTTTAGTAGAGATGGGGTTTCACCATGTTGGCCAGCATGGTCTCGATCTCTTGACCTCATGATCCGCCCGCCTTTGCCTCCCGAAGTGCTGGGATTATAGGCGTGAGCCACCGCCCCCGGCCCCTATTTCACTTTTAAATCTCACTGTAATTGTGGGTCATGGATTCAGGAGTGGCTTAGATGAGTGGCTCTGGCTCAGGGTCTTTCATGTGATTGTAGTCAGGATGTTGGTGGGGTCTGCAGTCATCTGAATGGTTGGCTGGGGCTGGGGGTCTGCTTCTAAGATGGCTCGCTAGGGTGATTCCTGGTAGGGCCTCCATTCCTCGCTGTGTGTTGGCAGGAAGCCTCTCTTCCTCACCGTGCAGCTTTTGCTCTCATGTGGGCTAACTTCCCCAGAGCAAGCAATCTGAGAGAGAGGGAGGAGGGAGCTGCATTCTGATCTGCCTTCCAGAGTCACACCCATCACTTTCACTTTATTCTGTGCATTAGAAGCCGGTTGCTAAGTACAAGGGGAGGAAAGTGAGGAGTCTCAAAGGGAGGAGTCTCAAAAAATGTGTGAACATATTTAAAAATCACTGCAGCTTTTTAACATTGTTTCAACAAGGCTGTGCAAGAAACAATCAGGAAACCTCAGCAGCATAAAACTGTAAGTGTTTATAATTCATGGGTTTGAGGGTCGCCTGGGCAGCTCTCCTGACCTCAGCAGGGCTCATTCACACCTTTGAGGATGGCTTTATTTATTTATTTATTTATTTTGAGACGGAGTTTCACTCATGTTAACCAGGCTGGAGTGCAATGGCGCGATCTTGGCTCACCGCAACCTCCGCCTCCTGGGTTCAGGCAATTCTCCTGCCTCAGCCTCCTGAGTAGCTGGGATTACAGGCACGCACCACCATGCCCAGCTAATTTTTTGTATTTTTAGTAGAGACGGGGTTTCACCATGTTGGCCAGGATGGTCTCGATCTCTTGACCTCGTGATCCACCCGCCTC